AGCAACCTTACATTCTTTTCTTTGGGAGAAAGAACGTGGTTAAGTGATGCAAGATCATTCAAGATTTTGTGGAATCTTTCATCCAGCATATCAAATGATTCTCCGGGAAGCATTTTGAAGCTTTTGAACTTCTCAAGCAGGACTTCTATCTTCTGCTTTCTCAAGTCCTCTGAACCCTCACATAGCTTCCCAAGACCTTGCCATATCTCCATGGCAGTCTTGAGGTGCTTAATTTTGGAGAAGGTGATGGGGTCAAGTGTCTTGAAGATGGCTGCTTTGGCGACGTTATCCAGATTGTGCTTTTTGCAATCTCTATCATCCCATTTTTCCTTGGGCTTTGGAATGTACTGGACTACGTCTGGAGTTGCTGGATTCCTCTCAGGATTCTCCATTTGAATTTTCAAGGGTCCATCCTCAAGCACCATCCACATGCAATCATGTAGAGCGTAGAGGTGTGCTTCCATCATGATCTTCCAATCATCATAACCTAGAAGAGAAAACTTGGGCAACCCGTGATCCATATTGTTCACCATTTTGATCGCTTCTCGTTAATCTAAACGTAGATAGTGAGAAGACTGCTCTGATACCAATTGGTGGTCCCAAAGTGGTGAAATACAAAGTCTAGAGGGGGGGTGAATAGACTTTGTTACAGGTTTAAAATCTTTTTCGTTTCTTTTGAAAACGAGAAAATGAGTGTTAATCTAGAGTCCTTGTGAACTTTAGATTGTGTGCGGAATTTGGTGGGTGGAGTGAGCAGTAATATGGATAGGTTAGTTTTCACCGTTAATATAATTGCAAGTAAGAATAAAGATAAGAGAGAGAGAGACGCAAACTTTAACGAGGTTCGAAGGTGGGGTAATCCTTCTACGTCCTCAAAATCCACTATGTAGTTGGTTGTTGAATAATGAACCAACAGTTACACTTGTGTGAATTTCTGCACGGTATATCTTCACAAGACCAATGTTGCTACTGCACTCGTGCTGGCTTTGTTGTTCCTTCGAAGGTCAAGCTTCTTCAACAACTGCAAGATCCGAACAATAGGACTTGCAAGATCAACTTGTAAGAGAGTTGACCTACCCCCTTTTAATCAATAAGTTTGATCAAAAGTAATATCCTTCAACGTGGTGTGGTGCTTGAGGCAAGGAAACCTTCAAGTGTTTACACTATAGCTTTTTGGAAGGAGGAGAAGTTTGCTTCTGGATAAGGAGTTTAGAAATCTCTCTTTATCAAGCTTTTTGGGCTAACTGTGAATGAGATAGCTTTA